CATCTCTGCCGCTGTAGGTGCTCGAGCGGATTGTATTGCTTTGCTTTGGAGGCATGCAGTGGAGACAGTTGGGAGAAGCAGCTTGCTTTGGTTCTCTGTCAGGGCCAAGGCAGAAGAGCTTAGTATGGAAGCTGGTGTAGAACGAGAGTCTTTGGAGGCAGCCCTGAAGCTGGGTCATCCTGTCGGTACGATGTTGATAGGTGCCAGGAGCAATGTCTGCCTTGTTGAGGCCTGCAGAGGCAAACCTTGCTGTGGAGCTGGAGCAAGAGCCTGGCTGTTGTTGCTGTTCAGCAGCATCCGAGTTTTTCATTTTTGTGCCAGGCCCTTGCAACGTTGGAAGCTGTCGCGGCCAGCTTCTCGGCGGACGAGCGGAAGGAGTTGGAAAAAGGGCAGAAGGAGCTCTCCAGGGCTGGGAGTGGGGACAATGATGAGGCCTTGACCTCCCTGGGTAAAGACCTTTTGGCGTAGTGCTTTAGAGAAGAGAGTTGGGCGCTGAGGGAGAGTGCGAGCAAAGCTCATGTCGTGCCTTTCTTTGCTTTTGATGGGTTTTGTATTTCCCGGCTTGTGTGGAAGCCAAGTTTGCTGCAGGAGTAAAGCTGGAAAGGTGTGCGGGACCTGGACAGATACTAGAGTCGCGTCCCGCATTTGCGTGTCTCAGGTCCTTTGGGTGTTCAAGTACTGTCTGTCTTTGTTATTTCATTTGGCAGGTGAGGGGCTGAAATGGGGAGCAGGAAGATGCTCACCAGGAAAATCCAGGGATTGTAATCACCTGGACCTGGAACTTGCCAACCAGCAAGAACCCAGCAGGCATGTGATCAGCTGTGTCAGCCTTGCCTGCAGTGGCCATGAGGCAGTGGAGCTTGTGCTTCTGAGGGGAGTGAGGAAGAAGAGCAGCAGAGTGCAGACTGTGGATGTGAGAGGAGCAGACTTGGGCCTCCTGGGGGGACTGGTGGAGGAATCCCATGGGAGGCAGCTCTGAAGGGCTCCAGAAAGCTGGCAGGTCTTTCAGGCCAGCAGCCTCCAAGCTCCAGAATGGCCCATGCTGATACCCAGTTCCAGTGTCAGAGAAGGAAATCGCAACTGCTTTAGCTTCAGCACTGTTAGAGAAGGAAAGTGTAGCTGAGTTAGCTTCAGCTTAGCATCGGCCTGACTCTTCCTTAGCGTAAGTGCCTAAAGTAGACGAAGCCTGCAGGCCTCAAGGCCGAACTGTCCAGGAACTCCAGAAATTGCTGACGATGTGACATTGCTGATGATGGAACTGCAAAAGCAATTAAAGCCAGCTAATACAGATACAAAACTCACTACCCAGGAGACCAAGTGGAGTGCAGGAGACCAGATGGGATGCACCTGGCTTGTGGTTGAGCTTTGGGAAGATAAGGGACTGGTAGGAAACAAGGACATGGTAACCAGCCTGGGATGTAGGCCAGGACCTGTGCAAAGGAGACAGACACCAATCAGAAGGAGAGCGAGCACCGACTCAGGAAACAAGATTGGAGGAGACCTTCCCTGGCAGGCAGGGAAACCAAGCTGTCAAGGGTAGAATTACCCCAGAATGTCTTTGTTTGGGGTACCCAGCTCCAGCTCTTACTATGCTCTACCGTCATTTAAATAAATAAATAATTTTGCTGTTATATGTGCATGAGACTCTGCTCCTTGGAAACCTAGCGTTGGACTATTTCTACAGCACCCAGGAAACCAAGCAGACATCTCAGGAGACAGGGTGGCTAAAGAGGGAACTCAGGCATGAGCTCTAATGCAAAAAGGCAGCACACAGCAATTTTTCATTTTTGTGCCAGGCCCTTGCAACGTTGGAGGATGTGCACGGGACCTGGACAGCTGCCATTTGGGGCTGCTGGAAGTGGATGCAAAGAGCATTTTGAAGCTGCTCGAGCTCCCCCTTCCCCTCTGGGAAAGCGGCTCCCCAGAGCCTTTTCAGCTTTCCCCTCCAGCTCCACCCCCCACACCCAGAACCTTTCATCTTCCCAGGGGACAACATCCTGGCCCTCTTCAGCTGCCTGGGGCTTGGCTGGTGGATCAGGAGTTCTCATAGCTCAAGACCCTTCTGCATCTCTCCAGCTACAGCGCCAGCTGAAAACACCATTCGCTTGCACCAGGAGGGTCATGACAGTGCCTGCAGCCCAGCCAGTGCTCACACTGGTCTCCACAGGGGCCTTCCAAAGACTCGCCCAGGGCACCTGAGCAGAGCTGGACTGTGGGGCAGCAGCTCCCGGGCAGCAGTGCTTCCCAGCAGAGATGAACCCAGAGGACAACTCCTGCCACCCCCAGGCCACCCCAGGCCCTTTGCCCCCCACGCGCTCACCACCAGCTTTCCCAGCCAGCAGGGCTCCGCTGGAGGCTCCTGGGACGATAGTGGCTGTGTCCCCTCTGCAGCTGGGGGGGAGGGGGGTGTCAGTCTTGGTCCCCGTTCGTGTGGTTGCCCAGACCCTGCACCGAGGCCCTCGACTTCTCCCTCTCCGTGCTCTTTCTTGAGTTCTGCCATCTGAGCCCTCTGGGGAGATGCCCAATCTCCTTCACCCCTGTGGCTCAGACCTTGCGTCCCACTGAAAGCAGCTTTGGGAGAGCAGCCCGGACACCTCCTGGAGACCGTGTTCCCACCCAGCCAGGGCCACCCCCAAGGATTTGCCTCTGCCGCCGTGGTAGCCAGTGCTGGGGTAAATGCAACCCTGCCTCTTCTTCCAGCCCTCCTCACCCCATCCTCGCCACCCCTTCAATCACATCACCACAGGGCTGCTGTCACCATGGGATCACAGATGCTTCCTGGGGCTCAGTCCCACCACAGTTCCAGTGCTGGCCATGGAGAGATGAGGTCAGGGCTGTGGCGGGAGCTGCCAGCACAGGGCACCAGTGATGCTCAAGGGGAGGATACAGGGGTGTCGGGCTGAGGGATGGCTAAGGAGGGACAGCCCGATGATCGGATTCCTCTGCAGCCAGACCCGATATCTGCATGAATGATTGGACTTGCCTCAGCTGGGCACAACAGAGCTGGCAGCAAGCTCCAGCCAGGGCCGTAAACTGACACTTTGGCTGGGGACCTTTGGCGCATTTGCTTTAGCGGGTGTATGGAAAACAGGAAGCCAAGAATGCTGTGGAAGGAGGTTCTCCCTAACTGGTTTATTGACAGCATGACCCAGGCAGCTAGCCTGCACCGCAGACACCTCCAGGAGTTTCACTACTACCCCATTGGCTTGAAGAGCTTGGACGTGGCCACTCCTCCAGGAGAGGGAAAGGAGCTGAGGTCCGGACGAGATGATGCCTCCTCGGTGGAGCCCCTGGCTGGAGAAGGGAAGTTGCCTGTTGCTGTGGCAGCAAAAGACAGTCCCCATGCAAACCTCAGGGCAATGCCTGGCTGTGCACCCGGATCTGGCTCAGATGCTTGGAGCTGGATGCTGACAGAGCGCTGTGCTGTGCTAGGTGTGAGAGCCAGCAGGGAACCCTGAATCAGCCAGGAGCCTGGTGAAGAAATGTCTCCTGTCATGATTGCATGTTTGGCTGGTTCTGAGGTTTCTTGCCCTCTCTGCTGAGGCAAAAGGCAGTGGAAGCAGTGGACAGGTCTAAATGCCACATTGCTCTGATCATTTGCCAAAAAAGCATTACCAAAAAAGCTTGCATACTGGCTAGGAACTTATTGGATTCCCAAGGTTGCCAGCCAGACCAAAAACTGTTGATGCTACAAATTACAGGTATGGTTTGGATCATTTGGAAAAGGGGAATGATTCTTAATTGGCTCAGTTTACTTTAAAAGAGGTGCAGGCTCTGGGAGCTTCCATGTGCTTCAATTAAGTTGTCTTTTGGTAGTTCTGAAATGCCTTCCTATCCCTGCCCAGTAAGCATCCTCGGAGGCTTATTAGTTTGCATTATAGGTTGCCTTTAGGGTGCCCAGAACTTGCTCTTTGGTTAATTTTCTCCACTCCCTCGGTAGGTCAGCTGGTTCAGCACAGTATTCTTCTGCAAACTGCTGATTGAATTCCTTAAACACAAACTTCCAGTAATCGGAGGCTTCAATGGTAGCGTCTGGCTGGATGCGCCAGTCTGGGTAATACTGGCAGTACTCTTTATAAGGATGGAATTTCCCATTGGTGTCGATATTTCTGAAACTATTCACTGAAACCACCTCTGAAGAGCAAACTGAA